CGACCTCGAATAGATAGAAGCTAGCGATGTCGAACAAAGTTGTTTACATTAATAAGACCGAATGGATGGTGGACAGCCCAGTTCGGAATTCACTCACTAGGTGACGCTAGTGTGCAATTTGACATCGTATTGTTTGTTTTTCATTTGATAGCACGACTAGATATAAGTTTTTCAGTCTTTAGTTAAGTTGATCTGTATGACAAAACCTATCGTATGGTGGGCATATTAACACTAGTGCCATTGGATTCTAAGGGCTTGCTTAAGTCGACATGTTGCCGTCTTTAGTCAGTCAGATGAATAGTTGGTCAGATGAACAAGACCTATTGTATAGTAGGCAGTTTAGTTTAGAATTGTCACACCAGGCAGCGGGAGTGGACGATTTGAATTCTAATTACTTGCTTTAACTTAACAGCTGAACTAGATAGTAGGTAAGTTATGCAGACTTATAAGACCTGTTGTATAGTGGACAGTTTAGTTGAGAATTTCCGTTTACCAGCCAGCGCTAGTGTACCAAGTGACCTATTTCCTTCGGCAAAGTTGTTCGAATGAACAAGATCTATTAAATGGGGCACAGCTTTTTCAACTACCAAACAACCTGTACTCTACTAATAAACTGTATTAGCGCTACTTTGGAATCATTTTTACAGTCAACTAGGTGTATTTTCAGACGTGTGCAGTTCTACAGCTTTTACTCTGCTCCTTTAGAAAGCTGAAGTAACTAGTCGAGAAAAGTGATTCATGTGTACTATTATAAAGCCTCTACTCAACGATCTTGTTGTAGTAGGGGCTGTCGATTTTTTTAACATCAGTTCAAAGTGTTGGCGTAGCTTAGTTTGTAGTATTATGGTTTGCCAATGCGGTCGTGTCGAAATCGATTCCAGGTTCCGATGCAAAGGTAATAATTTAGTGATGTGCATATAACTAATTCCGATAAAAGCGTGAACAATATTTAAACCGGGGAAAAGGTTGAATAAGCGCCTTTCAAGTTCACACACAACTAAACAGCAAGATACCAGCTGTATAGAAGTGTAAATAGATATGCAATAAGCGCATGTCCTAACCGGTCCCAACAGCCATAAGTAGTTGAGTAAGTTCGCCAGATTTGCTTGTACAGAGGTTGAGTAAAGGCCTAAACGCAATGTGGACGGAAGCGGAACGGAAACGGAAAGTTTGACAGTTGTCACAAATAACATCAAGATGCCTAACCGAAGTCGATTTGCTTCTAACTAGTTTTCAATCCGACAAGTAAGCGTACTCAGATCGGGCTTTTCCGCTGCCGCTGCCGTTCCGCTTCCGCTGTCATTGCGGTTGGGCCTTAAACGTTGCCTCATATCGTATTACGTTTGAATAACAGCTTGAGGATGTTATAAGAAATGAGTAAAGCGTTTACATTGTGAAAATTATTAGTTGGGTACCGTCGTTACTTGTGAAATCGAGACTAAACAAATGTAACGTAGTGGCTTGTAACGTATTGATTGGCAGTGTATGCAACATAAGCTAAAGAAAAGCGGACTAAAATAATAATAGCTATAAAAGGGTGGCACAATTTAATTATAAACCTATGCCTTTTGAGTTTAAAATGTGTTCCTATAAAACCATTCAATAAACTTTCAATGTATTGCATTAAAGCGTTCGCTATTTGATATATTTTAAATTAAAAACAAATAAACGTTGTCTTTTGAGATTTGTGATTCATATATCAAGAGCCCCATGTGAAAAGGGCATACAAGCTTTTTGTAAACAAACCTTTGTAGGCTCTCCTTTCGCCAACCGAGGGTCGCCCACGCAAACTAATAACATCATCGGGAAGGGGAAAGCTTCCCTTATCTGGTGATGTTGATGGTTTGCGTTGGTGTCATATGGGTGGCTAGAAAAGGGCATAAGAAGGTTTGTTTACAAAAAGCTTTTATGCCCTTTTCACATGTTGTTCTTGATATGTGATATCATAAATTGCAATATCAAAATAGGATATGTTTTCAGACGCACTTCTCCGACAAACAGACGTAACTCTTTAAATAAGTTTTCCTTAAAAATATCGTGACGGAACTCACTAACAACACCTCGCGAGCTATTTGCGGAAAAAAATCTTGCTTGCCAAGTCTCATGCAATGTTGCACACAACTTCGATGGAATGTTTAGAAACGTCAAATTTAACGTTAAATGCACAGCAAAAAATTAATTTTTATATGACATCAAAGTGTCAAAAATATGGTGTAATATTACTTGCCAAAAAGGACAAAATTATCACTAATACAGTACATGAACTGACATTACGCTGGTTTACGGCATTTGTTTATTTTTGTGGCCATAAAAGTTGCATGAAATTTTCGACATGCTTGAAGTGCATCCTCTTGAATGTAATATTAAAATTTAATTTTTGCTGTGTGCGTGTAAGGGAAAAGTGTTACGTCTGTTTGTCTATGGTTTTACGCCGGTTTTTTTTTAAATGAAATTCATTTTAATTAAGAAACTGCTGCTTCGTTTACTGCAAAATAATTTAGCTACCAAAACTGGATTGTACATGTTTGAATCCTTATTTAAATGGGATATGAACTGAAATTTGATTTTTTTTAAATTGAATCTTTAATTAAGGATAGTGAATGTTGCTTATTTTCATTTTTTAATATCGAATTAAATTTTTGTTGATTTGCGAATGAAATTTATAAATCAATAATTTTGTAATTATTATTGAATTGAGCAACAAAAACAATCTCGCAGTCCTACGTCAATAATGTGGCCGTGCTTAAGATACAACACTTAACTTTTTTGTTTTAAATGTGTGCAAAATTACTGTCAGAACTGTTTAGCACGGAAAATGTTTAACATCGACTGCAGGAACGAATGAAGAATACATAGAAGCCAGATGTCCTGTCTTATCTTAGATATTTTGCAAGGAAGATCAGGAAAATCGTCAGTAGGCCGCGCTTGAAAGCTGACGTGATTTTCTGTTGCTGCGTGCTTTTCGTTCGCGAACTTAAATGTTTCTGCTTTACATTCGTTCATTTGTGTGCTGAAATTGAGTTTCAATTGTTCATAAAATTACTATTTAGTGATATATCGTGTTTCGTTTGTATTTAGCTGTCCCGGTTCAGTAATCCAGTGGTAAATATTCGGAATACAAGCCAAGATTATCAAGGACAGAAGTATACAAACCGACACGAGCAGGTGGCAGAAGAGAACGAGAGAACAAACTACAAGCAGCACATTTTGGTGAGTTCGTTTCAAATTTATTTATTTGTTTATTTACTGATAACCAATTTCTACTAATACTAAATACGCGCGAGAATCAATGGTGTAAATATTTGATTCTGGAAGTGTGAATGCACTCCAAACAACCGTAAAAGAGATGTCACCACTAAATTGTATAGGAGAAACTAATGTAACAACATTTTTCCCCATAACATTTTCACGACATTTGCCACCTCTGCTCCAAGCATCCATTTCATATGACGATGTATTCATACAGATCTTATTGTGACTTCAGAATACACATGTATGAGCAGTCATTCTTGAAATGGCTCGTTGGATTTATAATAGAACTGCTACCTTCCACACAGAAAAAATTCTGAATTTTAACTATCGCGTAAAATCTCCCTTCGTTTACTTTTGAGCTATACTTAGTATAAACAGCGCAATCGTTTGCAAGCTTGCATACAATATTGCTAATTTATGCGATATTGCGCTTAAATTTACACGAAATATCGCGTAAATTTATACCTAATCTAGCGTTAATTTAATGTGCGCGATATCTCGCAGAAATTTACATGAATTTTTCAAACGGTGCATGTCCAGCACAGCAAAAAAATAATTTTGATATCACGTCAAAGTGGATGCACTACAATCATGTCGAAAATATGGTGTAATATTACTTGCTAAAAAGGACAAAATTATCATTAATACAATGCATGAACTGACATTACGCTGCTTTTACTGCATTTGTTTATTTATGTGGTCATAAAAATTACATGAAATTTTCGACATGATTGTAGTGCATCCACTTTGATGTGATATCAAAATTATTTTTTTGCTGTGAGGGCTAAAAATGTTTGCACCTGATGAAACAACTGTATCAACAAATAGGTTCGGACAGGTTTCTTCCATAAAAGCACTGCCGAACGATGAGAGATGGATTGTAAAACGCAACAATGATCAGAACTAGGGACAACAGTACTGTTTTCATACAAGCGTTCATATGAAAAGTGCTTCGTTTAGACTTCCCTGCGGAGCCCCAGATTATGTATCGGTTACAGCCGTTGGAGCATAGCGTTCACGTCGGTTCGTAACAAGAAATTGAAGTATTTTTTCACCATCGCCTAATCTCTTGTCTAATATATTAAATGTATAAACCACCCTACAAATGGTACTCTTTGACCAATGCAATCAATTAAATGCCCACTAACTTCGTTTAGCCCGGCATTCCACCGAATTCACTACTATGCTCGCTCACGTACCGTATATAATTAATGTACGGTAGTGAAATAATTATCCCATAATTATCACGCGTTGTATGGCTCGAAAAAAAAACAACCGTAGAAGAAAGCCGAAACCACACCGTCACGTTGCGTGACCGACCCGTCAACCATCAAGCTAGCTACCACCAAAGACCAAGCGAAACGCGGTGCGGAACAACAGCATAATTAAGATCGAAAATCACCGCGTGGACGGTGTCCTAGTCGCGCTGGTCTTGGATTATGTAGTGTAGTCGTAGTGAAACAAGAGTTGATAGGTAGTAAAATTCCGTCAAATTCACCCCGGATAGATGGGTGATGTGACATGGGTAAAACTAATTATCCCCTCCTTTCTGTGAGCCCGGTCAGCATGGGGACTAGGAATCACCACAAGAAAAAGTTATGCCTATTGTACCCGATGGGAAAACGTGTTGTTAGAGGAAACATTACCATTCTTGGCGTTTCATTTGACCTGGCTTGGGTTTATGCGACTGATTAAAATTAACAAAACGACTCTTAGCCTTTTAGATGATAAGAATAATGACTACTCACACAGCTACCGGTTCCTTAAACTTGCCGCATTGTTGTATTTGGAACATGAGATCTCCACCGTTGACATACTCCATAACGAAATACAGTCGATCCTGTAGAAGACGGTAAAATATTATCAACGTGTCTCGCTAATTGCCGCATAAACCGGTAACGACTTACCATGGTTTGGAAACAGGAATGTAGTTGCACTAGGAACGGTGGCTTAGTGGAAAGTGCGAGTACTCGTTTCTCCACCATGGTACACTCGACGTCATCGTCCTGGATGATGATATCCTTCTTAAGGATTTTTATGGCATACAGCTCGTCGGATCCCTTTCGCTCGGCTAGCATCACCTTACCGAACGAACCCTTTCCGAGAACCATCAGGAAGTTGAAATCCGTAGCCCGTATCACGTCCTTCTTGCCCATGTTGTGAGGAACATCCTTGTCGCAAGTCATAGGTGCTTTCTTCGATATGGATGTTTTCTGTTCGGAGGAATTGAAATTTAATCAAAAAGTATAACAGAGCTAGTCCGTTTGGCATATCTTACCCTCATCTGACTCTTCAACTGAACCAAATCGGTGCCTTCCTCCGGCACTGGAACGTTGTAGTACTCGCCCTCTTCCTGGGTAAGCAACTTGAACCACCCGTCGACGGGATTTTTCAGAATTTCCGAAATACCGAACGACAGCGAGCCCATGAAGTCGTTCCTCGAGGTACGATCCCAGTCCCACACCTCGATCAGAATGCGACGATCCTTGTCCTCGGCTTTGAGATCACTGCATTTGTGAAGATATGATTTATTTGTGTTGGAAAATCAAACATCCCACCTGTTGCACACTTACAAGAAAATGGTCTCATTCCACACCGGATTGAGTGATGCCCGGATGGTCTTGGTTTTCTTCTTCACGTTGTCCGCGTCTGGAATGAGCTTGATCTTGACGTACGGGTCGCTGGAGCCGTTTGGATCCATTGGAATCAAGTTGCGCCCCTGTTTCACTGTGGAGTAGAAATGGATGGAAAGCTTAGTACTGGTCAGCAGTTGGGTTGGAAATTGTGCTTTAATTTGGGTCTTGAATTTGAATATCAATATGAAAGGGTTCAGTTGTTTATTTGCAATCCAACGGATTGTTGTTGCAAAGAAAATGGTTTTTAAAGCGTATGGGAATAGTTAACCAAAGCCCCCATCCTCTGAGTTACTATTAACAACTGCTTTTAAGATGATTCCGATTGTCTACGGTTTATATAAATTTCCAAAAAATGTCTACTGGGGACTTGGAATAAATGTCAAGACTTGTGAGTCATAAAGGATTTCCAAGGACTAGACTGAGGTTGGTAGAATCCTCAAATGATCGTTGTCATCGCTGGTCTTGTAAGATCTGCCATGATAGTGGCCATTTGTAGATGCTATCATCCATGTCCTTAAATTCAAATTTCAATAATCTGAGACTAAGAGAAACTCAATATGTTAGATTTTAAACAATTTTAGGATTTTGGTGATAAGTTCTAGAGGAAGTTCTGAAGAGGTTTGATTGATAATTCCGCTAGAGTACGGAAGTGTTAAAATTTAGCATTAATGCGACAATACTAATCAAACGGACACTCCTTTACCTAGCTCATACATTGATGGAATGAGGGGATTTAAGGTATGTTCTGTAGATTTGAGGACATACCTCAAATACCTTCATCCATCAATGTATGAACTAGGTAAAGGAGTGTGCGTTTGATCAGTATTGTCGCATTCAGGACTTTCTCTAGCTAATAAAAAATTGCACTAAAGCTTCATGTTGATATAAGAAGGACATTTTCTCCCAACTCAGAATAAAGAAGTTTCTAGAGAAATCGGATGCGAATTTTAGTGATAATTTGAAGGGAACTCTCAGGAGCACTTGTGTGGTACTCTGAAGATAGTTCCTAGTGTTGACTTAAATTCCAAGGCAGTTCTGATAAGAACCAAGAGAATTCCGAAGAGTGTTCTGAGAAGAATTGAAAAAGACGTTCTGTTTGAATTCCAAGGAAATGGGGAGAAGTATTTTAAGAAAAATTCCAAGGTAACAGGACCACTGCACAATTGTATTTAGGACGACAAAAATATTTGCGCTTAAATCGTTTGTTTTAGGTGTATGGTGTCTTCGGGAAAGTTTTCATATATTTTATATTATATAGGGGAAATAGCTCTCATGTTGGCCTATGGATCAGCTATTTATCAATTTTATCTAGATGAACGCGTCATTGGGACGGTACTAATGGATATTTTTGGTCGCTATTGAAAATTTAGTCGACTGCTGAATCTATGTATAGGCTCAACTTAAGGGCATTCAGGCCGACATTACATCCATTTCCCTTGTATATATATTTTTTTATAGTCCCATTAGCATTTTTGGCGAAAATTAATTATACATTGGAATCTTTTGTCAAGTACCATCACTTTACAATGTACACGAAAAGTTTCCTACTTTGCTCAGAAAATGTCGCGAATAATACCAAAACTATGTTGTCCCTTCCATAAGAAGAGAGAAAAAAACCTTAAACAACGTTTTTCGCAGCTTGCTGTTTTTACGAGTGGGACAACTATGCTGAAGAAGGCAGTACAGGACTGGACAGAATAAAGTACGTACACATAATGATATAATGTTTAGCTTGCAATATCATTTTCAACACTAAATATTTGCATTTTAAATTTGTTGTATTTTTAGTAAATTTAACAGAATTTTATTTTCTTGTTAATTTAATTTATTTTTCAATTAAACGTCACATCCTTTGAATGCATATTTATTTCGTACTATTGCATAGTTACTGAAACCGCCTTTTTTACTTGGACAAAATAAAATAACGGGTGTTCAATAAAAAATGATTTTTTTTTTCAGTCATACAGCTAATAAAAAAAAAATTTTTCAACGAATTCAGTATTTTTATATTTAAAAGATAATGTTTATTCTTAAAAAAAAACTTAGTCGCGATGCTCTCACAAGAGCGCTGGACGGCACTGAAATCATTCTCATTTTTTATTGAACACCCGTTATGCACTAACATTGCACTGACCTGCTGCATGGCCAAAGTCCTGGAACTGATGGTCAGGCTTGCCTAAACTCCTCGAACTCAGATTATGCCGTATAGATGCTCATTCATCGTATGCTAGTTCATCCCTCACATATAAAGAGCAATGGTGTCAAATCCAAAGAGCGCAAAAGAGCTCGAGCTCAGATTGATGCTCAAGCTGGACTTCCACAAACACGTATCACGATGAGTGATGCGGGGTTTGTTCTTGAGTGAGGCGTGATTTACATCGGCTCTGCTCACCAAACAACATTTTGAACTTCGGGATGGACTCGGTGAAACCGTAAATATAGAGCTTCGTTATGTATTCGGAGAGAGCTCGCACGGCCTTTGATTTATGCACGGTTCTTCCATTCAATATTATACAATGGCCTATAGGATCATTCCCAGAGAACGTAACATTTTTAGAGATTGATTATTTTTTTTAACTCGGGGACCACTTTTTGGGTTACTCAAACTCAGTCACAAAAATCTTTGATTGCTTTTTCCGTTAAGTGCTTTATGAGTGGATAAACGAAATTATATTTCTGACTTAGAATGTACGAGGGAAAAACTAGTAAAGGCACTAATTACTCCGTTTATGGATTATCCCTTGGTGCTGTCTTCGTATTCTCCCGTTGCCTTTTAACATGTTAATTCATTCAATTCGCTACCCTCGCTGCACACACGGTAGCTCGGAAATCTTTCTGGACCAACAATTGAAATAGGCAGAACAACCAAACGTAAGCAATGGCTTTAAACACAAACTTCTTGAGAATCAAAACACTACCACGTAAACTAAAATTTCCATTTGATAAAGGAAGTTTACTCTATCAGATGATGGTGTTAGATTGTTTGGATGTGCTTTGATTTTCGAAGAATTCTAGACTAACATTTGAAAAGGGCGTAATTCCAAAATGACCATATCGAGAAAATCGCTTCTGAATTTTGTTGACCTAAAAATTAATCCTATTTCACGACTTTCCATTTTCTGGTTGATTTTATAAGCTTGACATATAGTTAATAGTGTAATCTATCATCATGCATCACTAAAAACTCAAAAAAAAGTTTTCTTTGTCGTGAAATTGAGAAGAAAACATCATACGCCCTGATAACTTCATACATGTTGTTACCCCCCAGATCTTCCACCCTTTGAACTGCCAACACTGGTGATACGCCGTGGAAGTACACCCTCGGGATTTTTTGTTTGTTGTTCCGCCTTGGTTCTTCGTTCGCAAATTTTGTGAGAGTGGAATTACGCCCGGAGATTTTTTTGGTCTTCTTTTTGTTCGTTGTTTACACGTGAACTACCAATCGGATGCATTTCAAATGAATCGGGCGTGACTAGATACTACAGAATCAAAACATTTGGCATATTAAAACGATATAATTCGTAGTTCTGGTGCAAGGCGTAACAACCAGATTCATCATAGAGTTGAAAGATGGAAAAACGCCATGTAAGAAGAAACGTTTTTGATGATTTGAAGTGATATTTTCTTCTACTTTTTCGTGTTTATCGAGTAGTTTGTGTACTATTCTCTCTATATGTGGCAAAATATGGTTTGTTTACATTTTGGCTCTTCCGCCCCTTTCAAATGTTAGTCTAGAATTTATGTTTTAAGACATTGTTTACATTTTGTTGTTTCGCCTATTTCAATTGTTGGTTTAGCGTTGTTTAAATCACACGGTAAGAAAAAAGTACCCAACGGAAAGTTTATTTTTACCTATTTTTGACTAGTTTGTCTCCTTTTCTCCTTCTAATGTTGTCAAAAACGGAGGAGCAAAACCACCCAACAGGGGTAGTAAAGTGTGGGAACCCAACGTTGAGTATAATCATATTTACCTACTGTTGGGTACAACTAACATACTTTTGGTTAAAAAGCCAGTGGAAAATTCCATACGAACTGCACATAAATAAATAAAAATTACTTTGACCCGCTTTACCTACTTTTGGGTTCCTGCACTATAGTGCCGAGATTAGTGAAAAGAACTTAATTTTGGGTACTTTTTTCTAACCGTGCAGGTGAGGTTTGAATCGATTCATTCTAGAGAACATTTCAAAAGGTCCTATCTGCATTGATCGATTCTCTTCATCGACTTTCTCTTTCGTCAATAACTCAGCTGAAAAACTTTTTCCTGTTGTATTTGACGTTTTTGACGCTAGATAAGAACCTCCTTTATCAAACTATGTGGTAGAATAAGTGCGAAATTTGTTTGCATAGCAGTGGTTATGAAAAGAGAAATTCGATGAAGAGAATCGATCAAAACAGATAGGACCATTTGAAATGTTCATCGAGAATTCATAGCCATCAGTTGGTTGCAAGTTGTCGCAGAAACACAAATCAAATTTTGATACGGCTCTGTTCTTCAGCAAGTTAGGAGATTCAGCAAATGGTGAATTAAAGTGTAAATCTTGTGAGAAAAAATTTAAAACAAAACGCAACTCAAACATATGAATTATTCAAAGTAAATTGAAAGCATGTTTTAAACTAAATATTTTATGTTTGAATTAAATTCAAAAGCATGTTTAGTTCAACAATATAGGATTTGGGTAAACGGTTTTTAGCGTGTCATGCCTGTTTATTTTCTTCTTGTTTACATCCGGAAAAAGTTGCCCCTGCTTTGCTCAACTTAACAAAAAACGGCCCGAAAGTGGCAAAACTGAATATGGATCCGGAACCCAACTTGATAAAACCGGCGGAACCCCACTGTATCAATTTCAGCCCAAAGGGTCCCCGCATCCCGAACAAGGACCCCAATACCCACAGCTCACTCTTAATCGCACCCCAAAATAAGCAGGGATTTAGATGCCCTGCCCGAAGATCTTTTTTTATTTTCATTTCTTTGCAATCCGTTTTATTTTGCTTTACCCTGCACTCATATACTAAAATAATTTCAAAATATGTTTATTTTGTTCGCATAGTTGTCGAACCAAACAAAAACAAATCCATTTAATTTCAACA